GTTGAAAAAAAAACTAGCAATTATAAACAATTATCGGCAACAATGACAGGAAAGCAAAAGAGCTCGTCACGTCCGGAGCAGCTGTTCGCCCAGAGTGTTATTGATCGAGCACAAAGCTCGCGTCGCCATTTAGCCATTCATTTGCGCTACAATTAAGGCTTTCGTCTAGAATTCGCGCATTCAGTGAGTACATAGCTGACATCACTATTATTATGGCTATTACCACCCTCATGCCGCCTCCAGGATAAGACTCACCATCCCTTCCGCCGATCGATTTGTCTCCAGCATAAGACGCAACTATACCAGTGCGACACATGTGACGCACTGGTAGAGCTTACTGGATCAGTTCGACCTGTATCTAGTTGCAGCGCCTGTGAACACTCCATACCCCAGTTAAACCATTGTCGACCCATTTCCATTGAAACCGTCAACGAAGCCGACCCAGCCCGGCAAACGTACTACTCTAAAATTCCGCTCAGTGGAAGCCCCTCGTCGACATTCAGCCTCAAAGAACACAAATACCTGATAATGTTTGCACTGTGCAACGCGTTTCTCTAAACAAACTCGTACGGACTTCGAGTGCCCTCTGTCGTCGTTCCATTGCCTATATTCGTCTTCGACTCGACATATTCCGCCTAGCTCGCCCGTTCTGTGCTGGATATGCCCGTGTCCACGCTGTAATTTCATCTACAGACACGCGTACCCACTTGCACATAAGCGCATATAAAGAAAGGGGTGTCGAATATTCGTGTCTCGTAGTGGACAGTCAATCCATAGCGTGGCACGAAGTCGTAGATGGAAGTCTACCGTACGGAAAAATATACGAGCCCTACTCCCACTTCCTTCTGCCCAGTTCAGGCAGAGTTGTCCGTGTCCGTAGGACACAGCCTGCAGTTGCTCTACGAGATCTGGTCGGCGTGAAGGCATACCACCGTGGCAGTTCAACTATGGCGCCGGTGGCTGATCGAATCGGTAACACTGGTAACGGTCGTTGTATCAATGACCTTCTACCAGAAAACCTAGATATGATTGTAAATCGAGCAAGTAAGTAGAGTAAAACGAAGTATTCTTACATTTTAAGTGACAGGCGGATGAGCGCGCATGGGTAGAGCGCGGGCTAAGACAGGCGTATTTTGCGAATTAAGGAGGTCGAATACTGAGCTTAAATTCAGTATATGTAACATTATAAAGCAAAAATGAACCGGTCAACGTTGAATACCGCCGACTTCGAGAGTCAAGTCCCTTTCGAATACGTGCGAGAGGTACACAACCGATAATCGAGCGTTCATCTACGTTATTATACGTATTCAACGCCCATCTTAACTAGTTCCATCGTCGATTACGTACTGCGTCAAACGTAGACCGTGTTACTGTTTAGAATGGCAACCATTCGCATCGGAGATGACACCGGTCTAACTTCTGATAAGAAACTTCAGTGGCTCATACCTCATGGCATTTGTACCAGTGAATAAATAGGCCGTGCAAATTAATGTAAGGAAATTCGATTTCCTAGAAAAATAGCTGTCTGAGTGCATAGACCGCTGCTACTGCCTCCTTTTAATTATACAGGGTGACTCAAAAACGTAGGCTGAGCTGTAGAGTTGAGAAAATGTTGCGCAGTAAACGAACGTACAATGGGAAGATCGCCCGTATCGAGTAGAGAACTACTTTCGTTCCTAATGAAAACTCTACTTATTTCTAAACTTATGCCTTTTACCATTGGAAGCCTATTTTAGTTCCATCCTGTATAATACGGAAATATAACTACATTTAATAGAAGTTTAAAACGTCATTTTAAAAAGCTGCTTTTTTGCATTTAGACCAAACTGAATTCGATTTAATCAATGGCAAACATTTAAACCGCTTGAAATATTTTATATTAAATTAGTAGCATAAATTAAAATGATTTGTACATATTGGAACAGTCGTTTCTGATCTAAAAATAAGGTTGACTAATCGGAACGTAACATAGGCTTATAATAACATTTACAAAACAGCGTTTCTTACTATCTGCGATCCTTAAGTTAAATATGAATTTTTCACAAATTTCTGGTTTCGTACTACTGTTAAGTATTGCCGCTGCAGACGGCCGATGGCTAGCAGAAAATAGAATGGGGTATGCTTGGTTCTGCTACCAGACCACGCGATGTTCGATAGGTAAACACCATCATGGCACGATAGTCCTGTAGCAGAAAACCGCTAACTGAGGTTGCCCGAAGCTAAATACCTAGTGGCTCCCCGCCATCGAAAATTTCACACGTAGTTGACCGCGCAGTCTGACTCGACTGTGTTTCTCATCGTATGGACTGAATGCTATTGAAATAACAACGAAAACGCTTAGAATGTAAAACTACTTAGAGAAATCGTGTTTTGTTACCGTTAAAGTTACATGATACACCCGAACATATGCAGACATCTAATCTCATCGCTCAATATGTACGTGCAACTACGTTGTTAGTTAAATCGAAATATATCCCGCCGTAATTTACGTCCGAGGTCTGGTTGCATTTAGTGACCGTCCTCGACCGCCTATGCGTCTATTGTGCTTTACCCTATGGGAAGAGGAACGACCAAAAAATGAATGAAATGGGTCTCAAATGAAACATTCCGTAGTGTAGTCCGAATGGCAATCATGCTTTGCCCCTATCCGATATAGGCCCGTCTAGTTCTCCCCACAACAGGTCAAGGTCCGTCCTAACATTTCATATGAGATAATATATTATATAAGTGGAAAGGTTTGCCGATTAGAACACAAGTTACTTAAGAGTATTATTCAATGATTTCATCTTTAGATATTTTGCGAAAGCAACAACGTTATATCTCGCTTCGCTCTCGGAAACTCGCTTGGCGGAATCCTGGTTACGCCAGATTCATATTCAAGGAGTGCCTAAGTCAGTAACTCGAAGACTAAGCACGTAACACATCGACAAACCGCAGGCACAATATTTTCCAGAGAGATGCGCTCAGGGCTAGATCTGGTTAAGCACGGTCATTTTCTTCTATTAACCGCTCTGAGGATCATGAGTTATCTCAGCTAGCTAGCAAAGACAAATCTAAAACTTAACATCCAGGAAATACAAGCAACATGTTGTTGACAAGAAGCATACTTCAATTTGAAGGACAGACCTCATTCTGTTCCACAAGAGAACCTTCTTGTAGAGATCTTATTTTCTTATAGAGATATTATTTAGAAGTACACATCTGGCGTAATGAATAGAATCTTATTAATAAAGGAGAACTCAGTAAGAAAACGTTTATGCTCAAATCCTTATCCCGGACGAGTAGGTTTTTGCCACGAGGCTAAATCAGGTTTGACTCGCATGTCGATGCCCAGAATCGAGAAACCTCCATGACGGAAAAGTGACTTGCCCTCGTGTGTAACGCATCCTCGTAACCCATTTACGTAATTACTATCAAATTGTTCACCTAACCGGTACACGCCTCCTGTACGACGATCTGTGTGTTGACAGATTTGTTTCGATGGCGGCAAATGTCTGCCACTAAATGATTATAGCTAGACGAGAATAGATCTAAGACAACGTCACTTCCATGGCCTACTCGTAATTTAGAAGGTAAAATAGAAATACCTGTGGTAGGCTCATTGTGTGGTTTACTATGTTGTCATGAAGCCTCTTCTGTCGAGTGTCTAATTTAAGGGTTTGTTGAAAAGTTACGTATCTCATAAAAATGTTATTCCTTATTTTACGCATTTAATCAGCGAGTAAATTTTTTTACGACCTTAAATATAGCGGATGTGGTTAAACAAGGACATGTATATATACTAAATCAATATTTGAATTGATCAAAGAACCTTATTTAGAAACCGAGTCATGTATTTTACTCATAAAGTACGGTTTTCAAACAATCGACTATACGCATAGTAGAGTAAGTGAAAGTTATACAACTTATCACCAACTACCTACTCATTGAGATCATTGCCGCGCCTGTGGTGCTACGGGCTGATATCTGGCTTCAATTGAAGTGGCCGCTTATAAGTCAGCAGATTTAAACTCAAGCCTTTGAACGGAAGCACAGAATTTTTATTGGGCTCCCTGTCGAATTGGATCAGACTATTCTGTGACGTTTGGCTAGTGCTGGCTTTCTTTTTGTCCGCAATTGATAAAGTGTACTGGCGCTGTTTTTCAATAATTTCTTATACGATCATGCTCAATCTGTAGACTCCAGCTCTACTGTGTGGTTGACTACGCAGCACAAACGAAACAAGTAATCAGTACCATAAGAAGTATATCGAAGCTCGAAAAGCTGCTCGCTACTACCAAAGCTGACTAAGAAATCGTATATACTGGCATAATTGTTAAATTCTTAAAACAAGCCTTGAAAGGCTGTTGAGAAGACTCTGAAGCCACCGAGGTTACTTATTACTGAGCATGTATCATAGTTATTGTTTATAACTACATAAAAGTGTATTATAGACCGTGCGCCTTTAAATTGTAACAGGAACCCAGTCCACTATCGTGACAGACGACACCGCTTCCGCCGGGACCCGTGCAAGGGTGGGGGCTTTGAAATTCAGCTTTAGGGGTTACTTCTGTTCTTTAGAGTATCTCCTTTAAAAGTATACAGATGTCGATACTTCAGGATTATTCATTGAACGTACTAAGTAGATATTTTAAGGAATTAGGATAGGTCTGGCAACAGTTTTGGTAAGGTTACTTTCTACGAAATAAACTCATCGCTCAATATTTATAGTTCTTCATTAGTTGGCTTACGGTCTGATAGAGCCGATCCATGAAAAATAAAATGGACACCATACTAAGCACCTATAATCAACTCTAATACAAATCTAGTGAATAGAAGCAAGATTTGAAAAGAGAAAGTAACATTTCATAAATCGTCTCCACTTGGTCGATATAGACCCTGAGAGCTCAATACCTGATATTTAGCCAAGTACGTAAATAAAATAAAAAATGTAAATAAATAACATTAGTTAGATTGGTTAATTGTCTAACCTAGGTCCACAATTGATTTTTCGGTTACAGGTGGCTTTTTATGCATGTATATGAACTGCCGCGGGCGACAGGGTTCTGGATAGTCTAAGCTCGGCGACGCTATCATCGAGGCGATCATTCGACATCAAAAACCATGGGGTCGTGGCATTTACGCCTGCTATTGCAGGGGCTTCTAAGCCTATTCCAGGAAATGTGGCTTAATGCTCAACCCGTGCTTGTTTTGAAGTTAGCCAGAATATACGGCTTGGATCGTATTTACGCATGTATTCCCGCTGCCAGTATGGCAGGTCTAGCTGCCGTTACGGGTAAAGCAGAGACGCAATCGTGTCTTCCAGTTTTAAATGATAAATTTTCAAAGTCTATCATTACTGACACACGGCAGTGGAACTAATAACGGATACATTTTAATGAGCGTTCATTCGTTCTTCATTTATTAGCTATCTTTGATAAATGTGCCCACGTTTCGGTAAAGTGGAAAATTGAAAAACTTTTAACCTATATTTAGCCATGGCTAAATATATTTTATATATAATTATATATATATATGTATCAAGTCAAACTACCAAGAGAGTTTAGACCCACCTTATCATTCTATTGTAATAGACAAGCACCGATTACTCGGTTATGCGCTCTCAAAAAGAAACGAACAATTTCTACGAGCCTGATAATCACTCAAACTGAAGTATCGTGTTTTCTGTCAATGTAATAACCGATACTAACTTACATTGCATTCATGTTTATATTATCTAAGCTCTCTTGCCTAGGGACTAGCCATCATTTCGGCCGGTTCATTCAAAGAGCTTCTAACCGTCGAGTGACGGTCTGTTAATGCAATGGCGGCTGGCATTAGCGACGACGTTCGTGGTCTCGTACTATCTCTGTACACACCATCCGATTTATCTCGTTGGCGTAATGACAATATCCGTTGTTCTTGGTTTCCTAAATCGCTGGCCAAGCCGTAATCATTATCAACGTGGCCGGCTCTACCGGATCTCTTCATATCGTCACACTAAGTAGCCAACCATCGGAGTGATCTGATCATTTATAGAAAGTACATGCAAGCAGAGACAAGGACACACTCAGGCACATTTGTATGCGGTTGCCTGTGTTTGGCACGTTGCGGTCGGACGAGCTTCTTTTTCATCAGCGGAACCCCCTTCGTCTGCGTGGTGTTGCAGGGGCTATCCTATCCCTGTTTGTCTGGATAGCATGCCCTTCCAGCTAGCTTCCTTTACTACCAATGCTATATTGGATCCGGTTTGCAATTTCCAATTTCTCGTTTGTGTAATGTACTCCTTGAATTCTCTTCGTTGTTCCGTCTGCTTCGTCAGCGTTTGGTGGCGCATGCGACTTTACCCCGTCAAGCCATTTTTATAGCCCCCTATAAATAGATTCTAGCATGAATAGTATACATACTACCCTTATAATGAGTATTTCGAATCAGTCCACTGTACAAGAAATTTCCATCCCGTACAGAGTGTCGTGTAAAAACTCGAGTTTCTTTTAGCTGGGATGAACTGCTGGATATTGGTCGAATATGAAATGAGAAAAACGTGTTATTTTAACGCGTATATTATATCAGTGGGACGAGTCAGGGCTAAGTCAGAATCTAAACAGATTCAGAAGAACGCAAAGGGGGAAATGGACGATGTTTCTATCGCTAAACGATTAGCGTGGACCTATATCAGAATAACTGTTCTATGTCGCAATTTGGCATAACGCGGCAGAGATGATAAAATGACAATTATCAACCCCAACGATACGTCAACGGCGACGACTTGATCGGGTCAGGAGAAGCGCCTTAGAATGAATGACGTAAGATTGAAGTACGCGAAAATTGGTAGAGGATCTCAGTTTCTGTCATAGAAGGCCACTGAGCCCCGACAGGGCAACTGAATTGAACAAATCGAAGCACGTAAAAATATTACTTTAAAGCGAATTCATACTCGTACGTTTCCCATTCGATATACGGGGGCGTCATTATTTATAATTGCTAGAAGGGGCTCGTCTAACAGAATACTTCGAGCGGGTCCGAATATTTGTAAGCAAACAACGATTCCCAGGTAAAAGGTGAAGTAATGCATAAAAATGTTGTATATGAAAGAAAAATGAACGAAACGTAAAAAGGTGCAAGTGCTATATGAGTGTTATAGCCAACTCATTCAATATTCGACCGTTAGTATTTACAGAAAAACTTAGGTAATTCATATAACTTTACGTAAGCTAGAAAAAAAACGCCAAAGGTCCCTGATTGTCGCCGAAGACGAATACTACGCGAAGGAACAACAATATTAAATACATTGATAATATAGGCTACATCCTAAAGTCAATCAAAGGAACAGATGTTAAAGCTTAGAATTTTCTACTTGCAGAGGGGCTAAGCAGTATCTTTTTGAGAAACACGTTCGAGCCTCCGCTAATAGTTACGCTCGCAGGAGTCCTTATCACCTGCGGAGGATGTAGTCTCGTGTTTTTCGTTGAAGACCTACTTCTAGGCCTTACCGCTGCCTCCACCATGTACGGTAAGGAGCAGTTATTGTAGCGGCTACTCAGGGCATTGTATAGGTGAACGCTAAACTTTCTATTTCACAGACTAAATCGAACACCTCATGATCCTCACCGCGGCACCCACTCACACTTGTGCTCCGGCCGTGATGACTAAGTATTTTGGTATATTAACAGGTGTCATCAGTTCCCTTATTAACTGACCAATTGTACGGGGAAATCGACTGTGTCATAAAGAAGAAATTACGTGTAAACAGAGACCAACTTATCTGATGTTGAGGACGGATACAGAATGACATTTTAACATGAAAAGTATATGCAATCATAGCACCGATCTGTGCTTAACGCTGTGAATAATAATGAAACGTTAGAAAACACGATTCGCATATAAAAAAAAATGCCTCTTCTTCGGTATCGGTTCAGTGGTTAGTAATAATTGGATAATTAACTATTTCCGAATGTTTATTACTAACGTCTTAATTTTGGCCGTCAATCCTTTAATGGCTTTATATACAAGGTAGTCTATTGATCATGCATATGTATTTTATGAGTTTCGAAGCAAATCTACAATATAGGCTTGTGAGTGAGTCATAGTTTCTCCTAACAGGCCAAAATCAGCGTATAATTGTTAGTTCATGTATACTGTTATAGATAACGGATTATCTAAGTTACTCACACAATTTTGCCTATAGTTTATATTTGAATTCGTCACCCTACAAGCTGAGCAATTAAAGCAGCCACCAATATCGTGTGCAATTTGAACGATATAAAGAGTTGGCATATTTCAAGTTTTGTATAAATTTACATTGCAATTCAGCCACCATCTGAGTAACGGTGATTGAGTTTATTTAGAGGAAACTGCGTGAACGAGGTCTTTACGTTTGTTCTGATGGTATTTACAATTAACATAATTACCTCACGTAGGCTAAGTTTCGAAGAGAACCTTTTTAATGGCCTATACTTGGCCCGCTACAGGTCAATCATTTGCATTTACTCCTATTTATAGAAATGGACACATATCTAACCAAAATATTATTTAGAAGCACTAGAAAGAAGTAGAAAACCTAGAAATCGTTGACGAGTTCCGAAAACCCGGGTTGCTTTTCTATGCGGTCGGCCTGCCACGACATCAACTATAAACATTGCCATTATAACAATAATATCGCCTTTCATCTTTAGTCGTTCGTTCTAGATGCACACAAGGACCATAGAGCAAATTTTAGAACTAGACGTTTTTTTTAGTTACTACAGATATCCGCAGAGCAGGATACATATATACATACCAATGGAATTTATATATATATATATATATATATAGGTAAAATTACATAAACAACTGCGCACTGTTACCTATATCAGTGAGAAGATACTACTGACAATAAAGAAGATATTTGCCACTGCATAATTACAGTTTCCCTCAACTTAAACTCTACCTTTAATGTTTATTTTATTTTGTATTATTTGTACAACAATGGCTAAAAACTTTGTAATCATTTAAGAATATTTCCTCTTTGAGCACCGCGTCCCTTCTTATCAATCGGCTTTGATTAATGGAGCATGTGACTGATTGCCTTATGCTGTTGCAGGGGTTGGAGTAGGTCTTACGCGGGCGCTCACCACAAACTTTGAACGCGGTGCGGTTGCCGAAGAGCTCCACTTTAATCGTGAGGTCGGCAGCATTCTCGGAGGCTTCGTGGGTGCTCCACTTTTGTTCGTGCTCGACGATCTGCTTCTAACTAAGGGTGCCCTGCTCGTCATTGGCGGTGTTAGTAATAATCAGGCGTAGGACTCAAAACATATATTTGATATAAGCCACTGGTGGCTTGGTTTAAGATGCAAGATTGTTCTCACGAAATGGTATGGCAAAAGTAACAAAGCTCGATTTTAGCGATTGTACACCGAATGAAATGTAAATGATAATTTAAATATTCTCTGTTTAGCAGCTGCCGTCGTTGTGGCCAGTGTATGGCAAAGCCGGCTGTTACAAGCACAGTAGCGTCTGATCCTCACCCCTTCAGAATTTTCAACACGTCGATAGATCAGGATTTCGCATTGGTAACCATTTTTTCATGTTTGATTTTTTTTTTATTCCTACAGCTTAGTCTACATTCTATTGTCGTCGTCATCGTCCAGCACAGAGCCCAATGTCCAGTATTCAACGAGCCTCAATTGACCTCTTCACCTGAAACAATTACCGCTGGCGTAACGGAAGATGCAAAGTCACATTACTCGGAGCTGAAAAACGACAAAGCGGCCAAACCCCTTATTGACAAAGCAATTGAACTCGAGCGCATTGAGAAGCGTCTACCGTTAGCTCTTGCCATCGACGGTAAAATTCCCTTCACTGTTCAACGAAAACACCAATCTCAGGACCTCGGTTACAGACACCGGGTGAACTCGTTCGCGGAACGTGAACTTCACTCCGTAAGTCACCACGTCCTTGAACGGCCGGCGAGACGGCGCTTGAACACTGAGCCAGCCAATGCTGCAGACCAAAACTTCAACATCATCCAGAAGATCATCCGCGCACCAGAGCGATCCGTTAGTGCCGACGTTTTACATAACCCATATTCGAGCCCACGAATTTTGCAGACGGCTACCATGAGACGGTCCGTCTCCCAACTGTCGCTGACGGTACTCACGCCGATCGCTCAACTTGTGCCTTTACACGTTGCGATTTGTCAGGTTCTTCGAACAGGAGCATTCGCCCTCTTATTGCTTTCGTTTATTTCGAACGTTCACCTTTTAGTGATCTCAACGACACTCCTGGACGCCTACATGGATAAGGCCACACCTAAGGGCACCCATTTTATCCGTGACGGTATTGATCCGATATGCGTCTTCCTCGTCTTTACCTTGGCAAAACTTGTCGGTATTCTAGTCACAGATAAATTGCTGCGAAATTACGATGCTTCTGAGAAGACCATTGTGCTGTTAGCTAACTTTGTCGGCGGATTCAATCTTCTGACGACCCAGTTTGTTAATCGACTTGTTGTCGTCGCTGCCTGGGCTGCCCTCTTTGGACTTGTGCAATCCGCGCTTCATTATTTGCAGCCAAACCTCATTCGGACATACATGGAAACAAGAATCGAGCATTACGCCCGAGCTATGGCTCAGATTATCTGTGGCTTCTATATCGCCTTCGCTCTACCAATCTTCGTTCATCTTTATCGTGACCTAGAGTATCCGGGATGGGAACCATCGTATGACCTCCTATATCAAATTTTTGGTTTGGTACAGTTGGGTGTCTCCTACAACTGGCTATTTCTTGAGCCGTTCTTAAACAAACCGTCGCTTTCCAATGAGGAGATCGGTGAAGATGTTCCGGCAACGGACAATGATTCTTCACTGAAAGCCGACAATGTATAAAATTATCTAGAAATTACGGCGAGAAGTGATAGTCTGGTGTTTTTTGAAATGCATTTCTCGACGTACTATAGCAGCGCATGAATGACTAGGTAGCTAATGGCACGTAAACGATGTGTCTGAATATACAGAAATATGTTAAACTATTTAGAGGCCGTTTAAGAGGCTTCAATCAATACCGTGTGATGAATATTATCTGAACGCTACATATATAGAGCTCAATTTAAACTAAGAGCTGCACAAACTATGTAAAGTAATATTTCGAAACTGTAAATAAATAACAATGGCAAAACGTTTTTTTGCATAGCTTATCAGGTTTTCTTGTTGAAAAACAACGCAACGACTACTTGTTTTGGATTACAACGATAAACAATCGACAGCTCCATTTTCTGAAAATCCTCAGGGACGATTGCGTCTTGAAAATCAAGTGACGTCCGCCATATCGTTTGTATTCTCTCGCAAGAACAATCTATCAACACTTGAGCTTCAATGCCCGAAGTTCCAGCTTAAAGGAACACAGCTAAGGAAAAGATACATGCTATGGCAGATATTTCTTCGGTTTTGACTTTTAAAGCATAACGTATCATTTGTGTTATTTTCATTGGCAGCTGCACCAGAGTTTGCTGTTATTCTACACATAAATATTATTCAGAAATACGTTGATATAAGCCAAAAACTAACCTGCATTAATAGTACCCAATCAACTAACGTAAATGTCCCATCTTATGATAGCGTTCGTTGACATGCGCAATTTACCATAGCTAACCTATATTCCGTCAATGAGATAACAGTAATCAGCAGACCACTGTTTATCTACTGCATACGAGCACTGAAACATTCCGCATACGTACATACAAAATTTTTGGCGTTGGTTGTAGCATCAGATCGAGTGAAGCTTCGAATCTACATTTAAGTATGTCTAATAAAGTTCTCATTCACTGCCAATGTGCCCGTGGGTTCTTCACAGTCATATAAAAACCCTATTCTGTTAACGCCACTTTCTCGAAACGGGTAGAAACAATAGACAAGTGCAGGACAACGATATAATTTGGTCACGACGTCCTCTGTTATTATTTAACGTTTTAATTAAAAAAACAGTAAACCCAATAGGGCTAGACGGCAAGGCAAACTCACGGCCTCTCCTTCCACAGATGTAAATATTCCGTTTTGCCCTTAGAGACGCGTATGTATATCTAGATGGATGATAATTAAGCTGTGCCCTGGGCGATCTGCACAGTTACATCATCGGTACGATACCATCCCGAGGTACAGTATGTAGGCCTTCTGGATAGCTTGAAGAAGAAGTCTGAAAAAAATGTTTGATAGTTTGAAAAGAGTACGGTACAAGAGAATTTGCCCCACTGTCAGAAGATTTTGTCAAACGGTTCAGGTACTTTATCCTCACTCGGCATATAATAACAGCAGCAAGATTATATCAATCAGCGATTTGCGATGCGCGAACGTGATCGAACAATAACTGGGCAATTTGCAATTCCAGCGGTTCATAATGCTATAGCGCACAACGCAATAATAATAATAATGGGACGAACGACTGTGTGGCAGCAAGACATGCGTGAGAATGACGCAGAGTGTTTCCCATGTGGTAGCTTTCGACTTAGAACAACACATGGTAGCAACATAATAATAACGGCCGCCCTCTGTCCTATCGGCGATAAGGATTCGCTGGGGCAAGAGCAATATCACGAACTCCCAAGTAGAGAATCAAAAACAGTCTTTTGGGCAGTGCAAATTGTCTCAAAACCAACTGATCCCTCTGGTTGACGCTGTATCATCCGGACTCTCAAGTTCAAACTGGGAGTGAATCAAACACCTAGGCTCCTTCTGCTCGTTGCACAGACTCCCGAAAGGCTATCGATGATTAATTCCGGACCACGCGCCCACGTCCCGTGAGGCCGAGTCGGGACCACAGGGAGTTATCATTAATATAATTGCCATTTTTACGAATATGAGCTTACCCTTCCGCTATAAAATATAAAATTAGCAGATAGTGGCTCACAAATTCGAGACGTCTCTGTATCGAACCGTTCGGAGCACTCTAGCTATGAAGTTACTGAGTGATCTAGGAGCAAAAAAAGTTAGCAGGGGATTAGACAGTAATCAGGTGACTGTGTGGCCACCACCCTAAAGTCACGTAAGGACGGCTTCTTGCCACCGGACGTCCAAGTTGGTGTCGTAATTACCCTTTGGGGTTGAAAAACTAGACCAGGCTAACCCAAAAACACAATCTGATAATAATTTGATGTGATCGTATTCTGCTTGGTTTTGGTGCCCCGTATTTCGACAAAAACTTTTACACATTTTGGCTATGTTCTCACAAGTCCCTCAGATAGATAATTATATGCAATTATGACTTATGAATTATGAAACGGTGAAATAGCGCCAGGGACCAGGAAAATATTAACTACGATTTTAATTAAACGCGTAAGAGCGACGGAAAGGCACAGACCGCGCAGTCGTATCTTTAGTGAGTAGTATGGAGACATGACGCACAGGAAACAAGCTTGCAGTTGGATCGAATAGATCAAGGTTAGCAAAAACAGCTTTCAACAAAAAAGAACACACACAAAGAAATGCACCATATCTTTTCGCTTCTGTATAAAGTAACAATGCTGTTCTAAATAAAGATGATTTTTATTGATCATTATGCAAAAACTGGAACATTTTTGTTTTCGTATGTTCGTGGTTATGGTCCAAATCGCCGTATATATGCAGTATGTACACACACTGTTTTTTTCATAAGTCGGGTAGTGTTTCTCGATTTTGCAAACTGTGTTTCAATAGAGAAAACATTACGAAAAGAAACGCTTCTTTTCGGCCCTTTTTGCTGCACTCGGTCCTGATCGTCCTAGTTTTAACGGAAGTACTCTACTTGCAGTAGACTGGCTTCGCGGTAGGTTCCGTCCAGGACCAGAACTTGCAAGACGCACGCAGCTACGCTATTGTTGAGACGACCTTATTACGCGGACCGTAACTGAAAGCAGCGATAAACTTCTGTGAGTATGTCTGTGTACCTAAAGACTTATTCTGGATGTCCTTGAAAGAAGAAAAACGGCCCTAAATTATTCGCGAGTTCGATCATGAAGCAGACTTTAGTAAAGCACGATTTATTTTCTTAAAATATCTCAAAAAGACTAATAGAGAGAAAACTCGTTTGTGATCCGCGGTCGAATTGGGCTACTACTGAAAGAGTATGAAATATAGACTAGAACAAAAAAAAGTGCTCCGAATCATAACTTTATATAGGTTTGGCCTTTTCCGTCGCTTCGGTGTTAACGAATGCACGTCGGTAGGATTTACAAATTGAAAAACGTAAACAACTACTGGGTATTCTGATAAGTGTTGAACGAAAGAATATATGTGAGCGGCTTAGGATAATTTGATTATGCTGCATTAAATATTGATTAATAGTTAATTATTACTAATGTGTTTATACGAAACTGGGTCATGCTGAGACGCCCAAAAACCGTAATTAATATTTTATTAGTCCCTGGCCCTGTTTCACCGGTTCTATAAGTCATAATTGCATATAATTATCTATCTGAGGGACTTGTGAGAACATAGCCAAAATGTGTAAAAGTTTCCGTCGAAATACGAGGCACCAAAACCAAACAGAATACGAGTACATATAAAACACTAGCTTCTATGAGCTATCTATTTGCAAACTAACTGACCACTAGTTCTAGATAAACAGGCTGATTTTTTTTAAGCAAAGCTTTTGAGTGGATTTGGAATATATATTAAACCTAGTCGCATAATTAGCCACCATGTGTGGACCGATCTTCTTTTTGAATTTACGGTAAATTTCACCTTTCGCAGTAGCGAGACAATGGATATTGTACTGTAGTGAAGCAAGGACAGTGATACCAGCTCAGTGGACGCCCAAAGATGCGAAGCTACGAAACAGAATATCCGTGTTTTAAATCCTAGATTAGGTTTCTCGGCGTTATGTCGGTAGATGCAAATTTTGCTCTGCTCGAAATGTCAGTCCTTTGTTGTATAGCATAAACTTCAATTTAGCAAGAAAGACGATGTAAAAAAGACCGAAGTCAATCTTAGAAAATTATCCGCGGCCACTTATCAATATAACATCGGAGAATTCCATAATAGAGTGCTCTTGCAATTCCGAGTCAGCTCCTCATTGTTTTGCGGCGTGAACGGTGCTTTTAGCTCGTGCTAATACAGGTAGGTATCTAGTTTTACCTTGTTGCTATAAATTCAGTCCTATACAAAGAAAAAATGCCCCCTCGTCAGATTTACACTTGGTTTCAAGTGTCTGTTTGTCTTTCTGCACCTGAGCTGGCCAAATCAAGATTAATCAGGAGGACTAGTCCTTTCAATGCGTGGCCGCCTCTACGGAGCCAAATTCAGGTGAGACATCGAACAGGGGCAAAGTCCCCGCTTGATTTGGCTTGAGCGCCCTGACTCAGAATGCCCCGGTTGGCGACCGTGCATTATTATGTGTAGGGAGAAGGGAGTGAACCCTGAGTGACGTGTGATAGAGGCTGGCCAACTAGTAAAGCTGTAGTAAGGGATACCGCTGTTCAGTATAAGAAAATGTCGTTTGATATATCTGATATTCGTTCAAGTTTGCCGTCCACCGCTGTGGTACAATGCTCAGGCGTTCTCTAATCTTGAAAATTTCCGCCTCCTATTCGAATAGTAACAATGTTGGCATTACAAAGCTTCCTTCTATGCGTCTTTCCGAGGGCTTGTTCTTGAGTTCCACAATATATATAGCGCTGATGGCAAAAAACCAATAGCGCTGATTAGTATAGAGACCAAGAAGAGGTTATATTTGGCCAGCTATGCACTACGGATGCTTCTCTCCATTAGCCTTTCCTATCGGAGAATCTAGTAGTATAGCAATAATAACAATCTTAACAATAATAAGGAAAGTACTCGAAAGTGTAGAAACACATGGACATCGTCCGAAAGATTATATTCCACAAACGCCTCACGAGGGGTATCCACGCACGCACACATATGTGTGTGGGGGGCAAGTAAGCCAAACAGCAGTAAGTAAGTAAGTAAACGTGAGTGTACGTGAAAATATCGTTAATTTTATTCGCTTGTAGTGAGATATTCTTAAGCGAATGAAGAACTGCCTTGAGGTGTGATGACCCCTATCAATGTTTACCTGATCATTTGGCTGAAACATTCCCCTGATAGCTTTGAATTATGTTGTATTTTTTTTTCGTAATGTTTTTGTCACAAACTTTCGAAAGCTTTACGAATTTGTGACTTCTTTATTGACTGATAATTATCACAACGAACAGGATTTATTATTACAAATAAGTCATAATTCTACCAGTAATCACCATCACGTTCGTCGAATAGCGGTCCTTACCAAACTCTAGTTACCGATTCATGCTCTCTAGGTTGCACGTGTCGTTCTCATTATACGTGGAACGTGCTCCTCTAGGCTCGATTTGGTGCCGCTGGTACTCTTAATAATTACACAGGGATTCAGCGTTGCATCGATTTGCTGTTTCTCACCGCGGCTATCGTCTTTCTGTTGCCTGTCTAATTCGCCTTTTATTTGTACCTCAATCTATTAACTGCTTCTGTTAATGTTTGGTCTGGTAGGACACGACTGCACTTCCCGTGTCGCGCCTTTGTTGTCGTGACCTTAGGCGATGGACGACCGCAATGAGCAGGCAATAGGACCCATGATTTATCTTACCGTGTGTGTCACCGCAGACAGCCATGCACAGGGCGTAAACTAGTTGGATTGATCTGGCTGGGCTTCTATCTTTGCTCAAGCGTCCCTTATGCGTTTGTATGGTGTGCCTTTCTAGCTATTGTGCAGTTTCGGTTTAGGGTACAGTCACTGCCAACTATCCCTTGCCCCTTTGTTCCCTACCATTCCCCTACAATGGATCTCTACTTTCGAAAATAGTCTTGATGCCGTCTGTTTGCTGAACACTACGTTCAACTTATCTTGATAAATATTCGCGCCCCTTTCAACTGACGATTACACCATTTCATAAACCGAGCATCCTTCACAGCCTCTAATCAATATTCACTGCCAGTCACCCTTCCGCAAAATTCTCGCTTGCGATAGAGTTTGGCTTATATAGGAGACTGCGTTTCGTGTCCTTCTGAACGGCTAACAAGAAACTAAACAAAGGATAAATCTTTTACCATATTATTTCTACCGGACATGGCAAAACGACAGAACACAATATTGTCACAGTAGAAATATCACAACAGGAAGTAGAGTTGATTGAAGTGACGAACGTCGGCTTAGGTTTAAAATTAGACAACGCTAGGCGGGACATTCGCAGTGCACAAACCTCTGCTATACAGTGTTCAAAAACGATACTTGTTACTATATACGTAAATAATAATATCATCTTATAGTACTTTGTTACTAAAAATGAGAATCGATAATTGTCAATTGAAACTAAGTTGACTCTACTGAAATTTTGCTCTTAGATTAGACGAACGGCAGTCCAGGGACAAGAAACAACAAATCAGCTAACAAACTACTTTCCTATTTCGATTCGTTCTCAAAGTTCGATATTCTACTTTTGATATAGATCTATAATACATCGTTTCGCATTTGCTGTTGATCGATGTTTTGATATGAAATTAAAGTAGCCAAATAGAAAAACCGCGACACATGGGGATCATGCAACATCGGGCACCGGACAACCGCACCGATTGCGTTTAATCAGCCTCAAACGGAAACAAGGTCGTTTCTTTTTTTTTTTTTTTCAGTAATTCAGTTTTTTTTTTGTTTCCCTTTTCGTCTCTTGTGGGGACGCTGTTGCTCGGGCCGTCACTCTGTATTAGTGTTATAATGCTACTACTCTAGATTGAGCCTGGAGGCACGTTCGATAGATTAAGCTTGCCCAACGATTGGCCACCGTATATTCACTACCGCGTGGACGCCAAAGTATGAACTGCGTGCCTACACGCCATGGAAACTAATAAAAGTTGCTTCCGACCCCTGTGTGTGACCCTGTGCTACAATGACAGCTGTCAATGTTATGTCCTGAAGTGCTTTAATTATTTCATCCACTGAGCCCAACAGACGCCAGTGTTTCATACAAAGTTGCTTCAATTACATAATTATATATCTTTTCCTACACATTGTGAAAATCGCCAATGGTACATGTTGGAAGAATTATCAATTCGGTCGCCTTAATGGGGTTTTTTTCAGCCTGCTCTAATCGCCTGTAGATGTCTTGATTTTGAAT